GCATATTAATATTTGCATTTACCAAATACATAATTTTTATACATTTCTATTGAATCAATATATGATTTTATACTATGAATAGTCCTCTTTTTAAAGAGACCTCTAAAGCATATGTTTATGGTACTCCCCTGAGATAGAATAATGATTATACTCGCCTCTCCAGTAGCCCATGTCTCTCCCCTCCCTTTCGGTGCTGAAGCCTCTGCAAGACTTTTAGCATTCAACACTCTTAAGTTTGTCGGATGCCGGTTTTCTGTAGGGATGTTGCAGGCCACTGAATAGCCAAGTGTAATACCTCTTCTTTTTTTTTTTTTTGCAGGGGTGTCTTTAAAGAGGTTTTTTTAAACAGTGTTTGTTGAAATAGACATCTTGCTAAAGAGAAATTGAAGCATTAATATGTTGAAATTATGTTAGAATTATGACCTTCCGAATCACAGGAGCCAGGTAGCCAATGCTTCTTAAAAAATGACAGCGGGTGCCTAACGTTTGAGGTTTTCTCTAGCCGTTGTCAACGGAGGTGGCTCCTAAAACATATTTCTGGATTGGACAGAGTGGACTTATGAGTGCCATATTAATTTGTCAATCCCCGTGTTAAGTGTCCTTTCCTTTACATTTAATATCTGACCAGTTTTGAACCAGGCAAGTTCTACTTCCATATTGCATTAGGAATTTCACTTCATTTGCTGTAACTCAGTTTGTTGTCATAGAGCCAGATGTAGTTGAACAGGGGTGAGTACATCTTTCTGGGTGTCAGATCTGCAGATGAACGGCTCTATCACTACTTTTATTAATGCCCTGTCTAGGGTGTTTGAGTACCCCGACTTTAAACAAAGTGCATATATTACTTTCTAGGCCCCTACCCTCCTGAGCATAGTAGGTATTTCACTTCTAATTTGCCTTGTATTGTGTAATGGACATACAATAGCTTCCGGTCTTCTTCAAAAAAATTATTCATCTAATGTTGACGTAGCATATTTACACAATAGTGCCAATTCATGAAAGCATATCGTGTGGAGAATTTTATTGCCATGCATCACTAGTTGAATTATAGATCAAATTCCATATTTTTTTCTATTGACTAATTATTTACATAAAAATTATACCACTGTTTTCTGCTAAACATATTGCTGCCTTCTGGTTGGCAGCAACAGTGAGATTCAGTGAGGTATTGGTTGTAGAGAGCAAGGGGATTTCAATAATTAAAGGGTTTCTAAACCCTCCGGGTTTTTGTTTCCATATATCTACTGCTAGCAAGTAGTAGATATATGCAAAAAGTTTTTTTTTAAAAGCGGTTCAAACTTACCCCTGTCTTAGCCGCGCGCTCCCGCCCGAAAATCCAAAAATGCTCAGGTGGCAGCAAAGCATCTTGGGGCGGGCGCATGCGCAGTTCGGTTTTCGGCCGGGAGACGAGGAGAGACGCAAGGTAAGTCTATGGACGTGTGCACCCGCATGTAGACACCGTGGGACAGGAAGTGCCAGCAAGCAGAGAGGAGTCAGCGCTGGATCGGAGACCCGCAGCAGCGCTGGAAAGAAGGCTGAAAAGGACAGGAAAGAAGTAGATCGGATTAAGAGACATCATTTAAGATAAGTGCTGACATTAACATTGGGGGGGTGGAAAAAAGTTTTAGCCTTTAATGTCACTTTAAATGTCACTTGGAAAAATACAAATTCCACACCAAATTGATCTTTATTTTTTGGATATGAAAGCTGTAATGAGATAAAATAACAAACTCGTGATTAAAATTAACACTATGGTAGTTTATGCATTCATTCTTATTTATTTCATTAAACTTTAGAGCTGAGTATATAGAACGTTAAATGTGTACTGTCCCTAAGGTTCTGTAAATTGGAGTAAGTAAACTTTGTTTAATTCATAAAGGTGAAGAGGAAAGAACCGCCTGAAACTGCACTTGGGGGAGAACAGAAGAGAATTCGTCCATCGCCTTCAGTAGATGAGGAAGATGAAGGTTTGTGATCACATTAAGATGTGCACAGTTGTCAGAGGCAATGTATTAACAGCACTTGAATTATTATTGCTACTTGTGTAGTCTGCAGAACTTTACAAGAAAGATGCCATTGGACAGTATTGTTTAAAATGATCTCTAAGCTCATCAAAAGAAATAGCTCTTCTCACTCTTATGTTTTGAATCGAAGGCACATAGATGTTTTTGGTGACATGCAGCTCAAAGAATAATCCGCAGCTTAATATGCGACAAATCTTGATTAGTTTATTCATGTTACATTGATTTGCTTTTTGTAGTGGTGATCTGCAGTCATTTTTTAATAAGTTGTGTTTTCAATTCAACTGAACGAACATTTGACAGGGATGTGTGAGCTATGTAGTATTAAATCTAAAAACACCTCTCCGCCTCAGATTGTGGTTTTAGTATTTGAAGTCAGCATTTACAGTTTAGTTGTCACCCACCTAAGGAATCCTGATTGCGGTGTCCTCATAGTGACCACTGATGCAAGTGAAGTGCTTACTGCAGTATGAGGTTATGTGCAAGGAATCAATTTGAATTTGGCTTGAATTTTGTAGAGTGTGAGCGTGACAGGGATGCGCTGGACACATCATCAGATCCATCCAAGAAAGATGCAGACCCTGTGAATGTCCACAGGAAGCCAGCAAGACCTCTAGCCAGCGAGGGAGAAGAAGCGGAAAGCGATGGAGAACAGGAGAACTCAGATAAAGAAGACACCTCTTCTGAGAAAGATGAAGAGCAGGAAGAGCACTCAGTTGGAGCTTTGTCCAGTAAAGTAAGTGTCTGTATTGTATAGTTGCAAGATATAGTATAGCACATCGCTGCGAGGCCAGTTGACTTGTGCTATTGTGTGTTTCCGATTTCAATGCTTTATTCCTGGGGTAGCCAAACTCCGGCCCTCCAGCTGTGGTGGAAATACAAATCCCATGAGGCATTGCAAGATTCTCACAGCCACAGACATGACTCCCGGAAAGAGATGCATCATGGGATTTGTAGTTTCACCACAACTAGTGGGTCAGAGTTTGGCTACCCCTGTTTTATTCATTCTGCATAACATAGCCACATTTTGTAGGATGTTCTGCTACTCATGCCTTGTATTAAAATATGAAACATTACTGGTGCCAAGTAACCATTGGCTGTTTAAAAATACTCCTTTTTTTTGTATTTTGATTACAGTAAACATAAGCCTTAGCTGTAAAGGCTAGATGTGTGTGCTTCTTTTTACTTGGATTATCTTCTTGGTAGAGCGCAGTGTCAAGCTGTAAGATCCCCATGGAAGATAACCTATGTCCTGCATGAACACAGGGCTGATATTTGACATGGTTAGGAGGGTTTAACTGTAATTAATAAAGCTTTAGGTTTGGGGTTTTTGTTTTTTTAAGGCAATCAATGCAGCACCTTTTTTGTTATATGAAAGTTTCTAAAGCTGATTTATTTCAGGTTTGTGTATTTGTACATATGTATGTACACACACAGTCATGGCCAAACATTATTATTATTATTATTACATAGTATTTATATAGCGCCAACAGTTTGTGCAGTGCTTTACAATATAAGGTAGACATTACAATCATAATACAATTCAAGACACGATGGTAAGGACAGCCCTGCCCCTGAGGGCTTACAATCTAAAAGAGGAGGGGAAATGATACATGAGGAGGTAGCTGTGAGGGGATGAATTATTTGAGAATGTGAAACATATTGGCACCCCTGCATTTCTGTCAGATAATGCACCACTTTGAGCAGAAAATTGTTGCAATTAAAAATCTTTAGGCGTTCTCATGTTTATTTCTTTTGTTTGTATTGGTATGACACAAAATGACAGCTTTTTAGTAAAGCCCATCATTCTACTGTTTTCGATGTATTTATAAGATATGTTTTTCTTTTTATTCCTAGGAACAGCGTTTTATTGAAGATGACCAGTCATCATCGTCATCATCTGAGTCCGATGATGAGATCAGCGGGAAGGAGGATGATGATCAAGACTCAGATGATGGTATTTGCAGAACTTTCTTTTTTCTTTCTTTCTACATCTTTGGTGTTTAAGTATCAGGGTTCTTTGTTGATTCCTGTGTCTCCCCTTCCCACTATCGGCCTACTCCCTGACATATGAGGGGGTATCAACACAGAGGAAGTTCTCCTTGTGATCCCCAGTACCTGAAAACATACTAGTTTACAATGTTGTAAAATATTATATTGCAGCTTGAGCAGTCTTTAGATGTGGTGGCTGCATTAGTTTCCATTTTTTAGAGTGAAAAGATTTTTAGCAAGTACAGAAAATTCCTGTTAATCTTGCCAGAAATGCTGTGGCCTTGTCTCTTCCCATGAGTAGAACTAGAAACGAAAACACACTTATCCTTCTTATGTAAACTGCAAATCCCATCAACCCCCATGAAATGGGGGATGAGCAAAGGCAGGCAAGTGCAGCCTGGGGACAGCCATGGCTCCTTCTATTGATTCAATGGAGTGATGGGCATAGCACAGGAAGTGTTATTCATAGGATTACTGGGTCAAAATAAAGTTAAAAAAAAGTAATGTAAAGCATGCACCTCATGTAAGGACTGCTAAACTTTACTAAATTATTTGTTTTCAGGTTTATATGCACTTTAAGGGGTCTATTTATATACAAAAAAACTGCACACGTATCTAAACATCCAGCTCAGATGCATGAACATTTGTTCTGTGCGGAAGTGTTGTAAATGATAATTCGATAAACTGGTGCTGATGATTGCCTTTGGAAGATAGAAAAAGAAATCGAATTGCTGCTCTGACATCCCTGCAGCCTCCTGACTCTACACATTGTCAGAACAGTGAGAATATTTACTTCTTCTGTTATTTTTTTCAAAATTGTTTCTGTCTGCCAAAGACAATCGGCAGCACTAGTTTATATAAATATTCTTATTTACAACACAATTGTGATTATATATCTACTTGTAACACAGTAAGACCGATATTATCAGAATTGAGAAGGCTATTCATATTGTACTGCTGCTCATTTTATTTGCAAGTGAAAGAGTCAGTTGATTTTATGTTATTTATAGGGATGCACCGATATATCTGCCGCCGAAACATATCGCCCGAAAATGGCACTTTTGGCATAGTGCCGAAAGTGCCATTTTCCTGCCGATAGAGCGGTGCATCCATTCTTTCTTTCCTCCCCGCTGGGCGCTGCTCTGTGTCCCAGCGGGGAGGAAGGAAACTATGATAGTTGGCCGAGTGCTGCAGGAGGAGAGCGCTGTGAGCAGCCGGCGTCTCCTCCCACACCGCTCAGCCTCCTATCACAGTCCGGCAGAGCGGTGTGTGGGCGGAGACAGGCCGAGCTGTCCTCTCTACACCGCTCGCTCAGCCTCCTGTGACAGCGTGTCAGAGAGGAGAGCAAGCTACAAACACTCAGCGATCAGTGATCGCTGAGTATTTGTAGATAATTGAGGAGATGGTATGTTAACTATATCCTCAATTATGAATCAATGGGAGTGATCTACCTCACCTCCTGTTCATTCATAGATGTAGTTGTAGTAAACATGCTCTGTCCTCATGTTATGAATGAACAGGAACACTCAGTATAGAGGATTCCTGTTCATTGATAACAGGGGATACAGAAAAAGAAATAGAGGACTTTGTGTCCTCAATCTCTTTTTCTATTTTAAAAGGGAAATATCAGGGATCTGTTTAGACCCCCAATATTTCCCCGAAGCCCCTAAACGTAAAGTAAAAAATAAAAATATTTAATAAAAAAATTAATTAATAAATAAAAATTAAATATAAAAAATGTAAAAAGTTTATAAAAAATAAAATAAAATATTTGAAAAAAATTAAAATAAAAAAAATTTCGGTTTCGGCCTGACAATTTTTTTATTTCGGTTTTTAAATTTCCATTTCGGTGCACCTCTAGTTATTTATATTCATAAAGCAGAAGTAAAGTTGCAATGGAATGGTGAACTCTTCCCATAATGTGCAAGTATGGACAGCGTATTTGCACATTTGCCTCAAGCGCTGACTGATCTAGGCTGTCAGTTGCTGCTCCGTACACTGCCGATGCCGTCTAGTTCCTTCCAGGTCCCCCATTGTTCTCTTCATTCATTGGACTGCCTCTGAGGACATTACAGACTGACCCGGGGTAGTACACTGCACAGTGTACACAAGTGATAAAAACTGCTAGAGGTGAGAAACTGACTTTTTTTGACAGAAAAGACTTTACATGTCTCTAAGGCAAAAGAAAAAAAAATCTACTTCTATCCGGTTTTAAATTTTTTAAGTTTACTTCTGCTTTATAAACATTCTACCAGAAGAGAAAATACCCGAAGAATATTCAATTTGGTCCATTTTTGCAACAGCTGGTTAACCTGCACAGAGTGAATGTACACGCAGTTTTGCTGGACGAATAGCTTTGCATTTTTTTGGACCCCTTAGAATATTTAATATTTTGAGTATTTTTTTTTTCTTCCCAGCACTGCCACCTAGTGTTGGAATTATTTTTCATTACATATTTCTTGCATCCTTTAAAGCGCAACTAAACTCAGGAGTTAAATCTTAAAAATGCATTCAAGTACCTCAAATATTAACAAAAATATATCTTATTTCTTCAAATCATCTCTGAATTGGTGCTGACACAGTCCTTCCTTCTGGAGGGTGATTACTTTTGTTCCCCATGGTGCCTCTGTGTGTTGTAATGTAGCCACCGATCCAAGCTCGCTCCTGTGATGGACTACAATCTCATGTTTAGTTTACTAATTTGTATTGAGATTGTATTCCATCACAGGAATGAGCTAGGATCGGTGGCTACTACTTTTTCGGTATCGAGTACGAGTAGCGATATTTTTTCCGGTACTCGCCGATATCGAATACCGATACTGGAAGTGCCTTTAAGGAAGCCAGGCAGCTTGTAATGACTCGTCACCTGGCTTCCTGATTAGCTGGGAAGCCGGGCGGCATGTAAAGACTCACCACCCGGCTTCCCGATTAGCAGGGAAGCCGTCTCCATGCTTCTCATCACTAGGTGACGAGAAAGCATGGAGCCGGCTTTGTGGCCAATCAGGAAGCTGGGCGCAGTGTAATGACGAGGGAGCATGAAGCTGGCTTCCCGGCCAATCAGAAAGCCGGGCACCGCGTCATTACACAGTGCCCGGCTTCCTGATTGGCCAGCTTCCAGACCAACCAGGAAGTGAGTCATTACACAAATGACGAGGGAGCATGGAGACGGCATCCCAGCCAATCGGAAAGCCGGGCAGCGTGTAATGACTTGCTGCCCAGCATCCTGGTGCCGGAAGCTCAAGTATCGGGCTAGGTATCGGCGTACTCGTACTCGCTCAAATGCTCGGCACCGGTACCGATACTAGTATGTGTATCGGTGCATCCCTAGTAGCCACCGATCCTAGCTTGCTCCCATGATGGTATAATATTTCGATACAAATGAGTAAACTAAAAGTGAGATTTTAGTCCATCACAGGAGTGAGCTTGGAGCGGTAGCTACTTTACAACACACACAGACACCATGGGGAACAAAGTAGCCCCCCTCCAGAAGGAAGGACAGTGTCAGCACCATAGCAGAGATGATTTAAGGATCTACAGCTGAGTGATACACAAATAAGATACATTTTTGTTAATAGTTAAGGTACTTGAATGGATTTTTAAGATTTAACTCTTGAGTTGAGGAATTACAGCTGAGTGTTACGCTGCCCTATAATCCCTAGCAACAATCAACTCGCATGTTTAGCAAAAAGAAGTTAACACAAACTAAGTGCCCCTTGCAAGACACAGCTGCATATTTGTATTTTGAGGTCCCTCTACCAGGTGTCCCCAAAATGGCTCCTCCTGCCCTTTCCTTACTTTGTGAAACAGTTTGTGTTTTTCTTTTTCTTTTTTTATTAGTGCAATTCCTTAACCCCTTCATGACTGAGGCCCTTTTTTCATTTTTTGCACCCATGTTATATTCCAAGTCAGTCACGAAGGGGTTAATTAGCTGAGAAATGTAAAATTGAAAATAGATATACGATGAGTTTCTGTACATTGACATAGTTCATTAGAAATGGTTATACAGGTATGTGTAATAAAACCTACTTTTTTTTTTTTGTACTGCACAGTACACA